CTGAAATTATATTTGATTTTCAATTTAGTAGACTAAAAATGGAGTTATAAAATAACAATGTTGCCAGCAAGGTAACAAGTTCAAACTACTACTACGATCGGTTTTTTCTCTGATATAGGTAGACAATCTAGACTCTTGAGAGAGTGACTACCACTCCTTTTAAACATAATGTTCTGATATCAGCACCCAAACTAAGTTAAAAATTTAATACTAGTCATTAGCCATTAGATAAAAAGATAAATGTTACAAGTGGTCTTAAAGTTATTGAACATTGTAATACGTTTTTTCGCCATATTATTACTTTTTGTTTCTTTATTTATTTATTATTGGTTTTTATGGGCGATGCCCTTGGTAAAATACAATGTGTGTGAATTCAACATAGATTAATATGAATATAAATTAAAATTGATATATAAATTAAAATATGATACGTATGAATATATGAACTTAATATATATATAACTGATTATTCGTTTAATACCAGCAACTATAATTTGATATAACTAGTGTTTGGGACTTGTTTAATTTGCATATTGTTTAATAATAATAGCAGAATAGTCTAAGTAAGATATAAATTTGTTTTAAGTCAAAACAGATTGATATACAAAAATTTTAGTTACATATTTCACCGTTTTTTGAGCAATACTCATATTTGATAAATGGTGACAAATTAATTGTTATTTATAGGATATCTACGCAGTTTTCGTTTAATGTAAGTAAATTTATTTTAGAGGTTAACACTTTTTTTTTTTACATCCACGTATCGGTCAATATACGTAGTCGATTAAAACAAGTCAGGACTGGGCAACAAGAGAAATACCTGTTAGTCCGCATAACTCGGTTTATAAATTAAGATGAGATAATTATATTATTAACTGGATTTGGAAACTACAGAAATACCTAATTGTTCCTGGGTTTACTATTAGTTATCGTAAATTATTACTAAAATGTAAAAGAAAAATAAGTATACAGATTGTTTTTTTCATTATAGGAGAAGATGAAGGGAATGAAATCGAGCATACATAGTAATATAATGTTTATAGTGTTATTGTTGTCCAAAAATATTAATTAAAAAAAATTGTCTACATTTAAATGAATAAATCAAATTTTTTAATTATCATCAAAAAAATATTCATTTGCATATTTTTGTGTATATTTCGGTTATTTAAAGTACATATTTCCTACAATTTGTAAAATTAAACAGTAGATATAACAAATAATTTAATATAGGATTTATAATTAAATACTTTTCTGTTGATATAGAAATTTTTCTCTGTTTTATCACATTTAAAATAATAAAGAAATATAAATGTATTTTGGTCACTTGTACTTAAATGAGCTAAACAAGAAATTGCATACATTTTGTGATTCGTTGACCGGTCACCATCTTCCCCCTACGTTTCGAAATTTCTAAAGTTTATATTTAAGAAGTTTATAAGTATAAAAATCTAATATTAACTTTGCAACAACATATATTTAAAGTTATGTAAGTGTGCAATACATTGTATTGTAGTAATTCTTATATGAATCCATATACATTAAAAAAATGTATATTACAATAATTCTACATTTTAAAAATGATTTTCAATTTTTAATAATTTTTAAAATTCAAAAAACTAAATAATCATAAACAATATAGCAGTCAGGTTATCGAACATAAATATGCCATGTTTCAAGAAACAAGTCAAAATTTGTCACACCGATGATTACTTTTTAATTTATATCAAGGAATTTAAAATAATGTAATAGTTTTTTCAATAGACAATATTTAAAAATAATATTTAATTACTGTACAAATGTATTCTGTATGCTGATGATCTAGTATACCTAAGGTGACCATATATTTTTTTAATCAAAATGAGACAAAAAAAATAAATATCTTTATAATTTTCATTACAAACAATTTTTATTTTTTATTTAATAAATATTAACAATAATTATTAATAAGTAACTCATTTTATAAAATGAGTATATGTAAAACAGTCATAATTATTATTCTCATAGAATTTATAGTACCAAAAAACAGGTTAATAGATTCAGATTATTCTGTGGTACATTTTATATACTAATATACTGAACAAAATAACTAAAACGTAATACTTTACTGGAAAATTGTTTAAAATAATAGCACACGTTGTATTAAAATTAAATATTTTAAAACAAAATTAATAACAGAGCAAAACTAATAATTTTAATCTAACAAATCGTGACTCCTTTCATTTTAATTTTGTTTGATGGCCCCTTCCAAATTGTAATCAAAATATTAGATTTTACACTTAAATTTATTATACATATAATATACCTATATGTATATTTATGTTTAAATTGTACAACAAAAATTCACATATCGTTTTTTTATTATTTTGGCGACTTCTTATTGGGAGCACACGAGTTGCGTCCCGTAGAAAAAGTATACACGAATTGCGTTCTAAAAAATTTAAGTAATTTAATTAAGAGTTCTTAAACAACTAACAACAACAAATAAATAATAATAATAATGTTAATTCAAACGTGCCATCAATATACACTGTTATAATTTTAATTAAAAATTCTAAATTTGAATTACATGTAAATATTACTATAACATCAATAGAATCATTTATAAACAAAAATGGTTCATTTTCGTTTGTAATACAGTCAATAGCATTTAAGGCTGAATGGACAGTTAAAATATTCGTTGCCAATTTTGGTAATTGTTCACTTCGAGCTCGATATAAATTATAATTCATATAGCGAATATCTGTAATTGTTAATGTACTTTTTACACTGATATCAATACATTCTTTTAAATGTCGATGCATTAGTTTAGCTGGTTTTTCAAATAATTCTTGTGTACCTTTTCGTTTAAGCGAATTACTTACAATTTGTCGATTTATAACTCCTTCAAATAGTGCATCGTGGTCGTGGTGAGTATCACACACGTTAAGTAAAATATCATCATTATCGTTAATTTTTAAATATGCTGTACACGTTTTAATGGTACATTTCCTACGTTGAATATTATTAGCCAAACATTTATAAAAACAGAACTTATATTTGTCAATTATTTTCAAATGTTTTTGTTTTTCACTAATAATATTTTGCACTTCTATCTTAAAACTAAACATTTATCACAGCTCACGTAGGTATACGAAACACCACGGAGAACCCCTGAAACGAAATAAAACTCTACTACCTAACAAATACTGTGTCTTCGATTTTAAAGGTAACAGGAAATGTTTCGAGCGCATGACCTTGAATTTGATTCGGGTTTTTTTTATAGGGTATTGGACATATAAATACATATGTTTTTAATAAATTATAATTTTTTACTTTTTTTATCTGCGAATGCGCAGTAAAATAAAAATTTCTTAAATAAGATTCACCATTTTTGACACTGGATTTGGATTGCTCTATTTTATTTTTTTTGAGCAACTTTGATCTTTACAGTTTTTTGATATGTTCAAAATTGACATTTTTAAGACAGTCTAAAGTTTTAAATTAGGTAATTCGTATTTATCGCATATATCAATTTATTTTCCAATAAGATGGGGCTCCCGCTCATAGTGAAATTATTGTTCGAGAATATTTTAACCAAACTTTTGGCAATAAATGGATGGGTACATTGATCCACTAGATCACCTGATATAACACCGTTGGATTATTTTTAATGGGGACATTTAAAAACAGTAATTTATGCAAATCCATCTATTCATCTTGAAGATTTAAAAAAATAAAATAATCATCGCGTGTAATGAACTCACCGAAGATCAAATAATAACAGCTACACAAAGAGAACTACTTAGACGAATGGAAGCATGCGTTGAAAATAATGACAATAATTTTGAACAGTTTATTGAATAATAAATTATTATTATTATTATTATTATTATTATCTAATGATATTTGTTTATAAATTTAATGTTATAATAAATACACCTTATAGTTTTAATAAAAATAAATTGTTATAATAGTATCTGTAAATGCTTGATTAAGATACGTAGAGCATTGAAATATGCGATAAATACGAATTACGTAATTTAAAACTTTCAACCGTCTTAAAAATTTCAATTTTGAACATATCAAAAAACTGTAAAGATCAAAGTTACTCAAAAAAAATAGAGAAAACCAAATCCAGTGTCAAAAATAGTGGTTCTAATTTAAGAAATTTTTATTTTACTGCGCATGAGCAGGTAAAAAAAAAAAGGTAAAAATTAGGATTTATCAAAAACATATGTATTTATATGTCTTGTACCTAGTAAAAAAAAACCCCGAATCAAATTCAAGATCATGCGTTCCAAATATTTCCTGTTGCCTTTAAAATTGAACACACGGTATATAGTGGGATACAATTTGTATATACCTTTTTTATAGGACGCAACTAAGGTACCCCGCTCTTATTATTATTCGTAATCCTCTAGGGGGGTCGCAACCTTCAGGTTGAAAACCATTGTTGTAAAATATGGGCAAATGTAAACACCACCAGAATATTGGTTAAGGTAATAAAAGGTTTAATGTAAATTCCGCCAGTTTTTTTGTGTTTTGCCTGTGAATTCTTTCATAGTCATCTAAGAAATTAATTTGATAAAAGTCAACCGAATGTTCATATTTTTAGTGAAGTTCTTATCGAATTTCAAACCCAACTTATGTAAAACTAAATATCATATCTCAAGTAAATAAGCTAAAAAATGTATTTGAAATAAAAAAAAATTACAGTGTTACAGGGTGCTATAAATAGGTACACTAATTAAGTAATACAAGACTTAAAATATTTACAAATTTTATCACATAATTTTAGTTTACATACATGACATAACTTATACATATACTTTTGGATTCTTAAGTATAACGATTATTTATTATGATTTTTTTACTATGATTTAAATATTTTATGTGAACGATATCATATTATATTATATTATATTTTTTTTTAAATAATATATCATATTAATTTTATACTACTACTTGTTTTTCTTCACTGCCGGAGTTTACCTGAACTCAATTTTACCTGATTTTTTCAGTGGCGTAGTATACACGCGCCTGTAAAATATAGTTTCCAATTCTTGACTGTGACTCTCGATATAATTAGGTTTTAAATAAAATTTCGATTGTTTCCTTTATTTATAAATAAATAGAAACTAATCATTTGTCTTCTTCCTCCTAATTTTATTATAACAAACTTCAAGGTTAGGCATAAACGAGATAAGGCAACTAATTTAATTAATATAATAAATTTAAATATTACTATATAATTTATAATTTATGTTAAATATTGGGCGGTGGTCATTTGGGTGAAGGTAATAATTTTGACCAAAAAAATAATAGTCCGTTTGGGGAGTGAAATTAATTTTACCTGTGCGAGGTAAAAATCTAATGACAGATACGAATGATATTATTGCTAATAAAAAATAAAGAGTTTATACAAGAAACATGTTATAAATATAAAAGAGGGGGTATTAACCAATTAGAATACACAATATGTTTAGGTTTAAAATATCAGGCCAATAGATTGCTTTAAAAACTACTAATAATTATATTATCTGTAATTTTATTTTATTATTTTAATTTTTTGACTGTAGATTATTTCCTACTTATAAATAATAATGTTATTAATATCCATATCAATATTTTTTTTAAATAGAACTTATAATTAATTATTTATATTTTATATGATTTCCTTGAATTAATTGTTGAATGTATATTATGAGCATTTTCATACAAAGCCAATATTGATTAATAGATTACTTTAAAATATAGGTACTAATTATATTATATGGAATTGTATTTATAATTTTTTTCTGACTGTAGATTACTTATTACTTATATGTATAATATATAATAATATTATCAATATTCATATCAATATTTTTTTTAAATATAACTTATTGTTAATTATATATATTTTATATAATATTTTTTAATTAATTGTTCTATGCATATTATAACCATTTTTATACCATCCAAACGGTATTTTTAGTTAAATAATCTTCGTCCAAACGGTATATATCTATTCGCCTAAACAGAATATATTTTGAGTCGATTCGCCCAAATGGTATACGCCCTAAATATTAGTTAACATTGTTTCTAGAACACCTAGTGACATCAACTAAATTTCAAAACCAAAATTTTTAACTGTTTTGTTGCGTATAGTTATTTTTAACAAACAGTTAATCGTTTTAGTAAACTTTTTGAAGTAATGTTAAAGGGGACGCTTTATAAGGGCTGTGAAAGGTAGGGAGACTAAGTTTCCTTGCGTCCCCCTTAACTCTAAGCCCTGCATATAAATAGGTATATGCTTTACAATAGTGTTATATTATATCATATTATAATTTGAAATTTTTAACTAGATTAGTATGTCCCGCACTACCACATTTTTAATATTGTCTTAAGGTTACCAGGTATATTTTCTGACGCAAGCCCTTTGATTAAGGGATTGGTGTGGTTTTGAACATCCAAGTTGAATCTTCTATTGTAAAAAGTTCTGGCTACATCATGATCTCGTTCGATACGTAAAATGGTTCTCTAGTGTTAGTACGGAGGACTTTAGATTGGAATCGCTGAATACAGTTTAAGTTTGAGATTTTTGCAGAACCCCATAATTAGATTCCGTACGTTCACATTGACTTGAGATTGAATTTGTACTTGTATTAATAGCTTGGTTGGTAACTTTATGTAGCTGGAGATTAGGAAAGAGCAGAGAAGACGAAATCGATCGTTTAAGGATAAAAATTTGTTATAAAAATGAGGAGACGGGCGCGCTTAAAATAGCCGACAATAAAACAGCCGAACCATAATATAGCCGAAAAATATTTTAATCGAAAAATAATTTAGCCGATAAATGTAACAACCGACAATATTTTAATCGACAAATATTACAGCCGACTATATTTTAGCCGACAAATATATAATAAGAACTGATTTGAATAACTGGTTTTTAACTTGGAGGTAAACTTGGACAAGAGAAGATGATGACCACGGTTCTAGATAGAACTACTATCTTTAACCGTTGGTATAAATATATATTTACTGTGATACTGTGGTAACGATACTTCCGTATTACAAGGCTACAAAATTGATGAAAAAAATTACTGCCGTTGCAATTAAGTAATTCAAAGTGTGATACTAGAGTTCGCCGCACCAATACACCATTCGCCCGGGATCTGGTTTTTATACAAATTGTAATGGATATTGTCAGTGCGACATCAGAGAACGAGGGGAATGAAAATAATAATAATTTTACCTAAAATTTACTTGGTTAGGCTGCCACTCGGAACGCCTTGTATCTATAGAAATAGGAAATCTAATATCCTATTAAATTGGGCGGCAGCCTCTCTGACGACGGCGACGACGACTACGACACAAAAAGAAGAAAATAGAGTTTAATTAATGGAGTGAGAGGTGTCTGTGGTGCGATCGATATGGTGCAATAATCACAGAGCTCACACAAATTGGACAAATACTTACAACTAACTTCAATTACTTGAAGACTAGAAGACGATGGTTCGGCGACCTGAACGGCCTGACCACACTGGGTGCTGGCGGTCTATCGCTTCTATGAAAATAACAACAATCACTGTTGACAATGAATGGAACAAAATACATACAAAATAATTTTTCCGCCCTTCTCCCTTACAAAAAAAATATATATATATATAAATAAATTCAGTTAAGCAATAAAAAAATTTGTTTTTATCAGTTGTTTTGCGATATTATACATTATATTAGATAATTTTATAGTAATACCATTGATTTTATAATATATATATTGTATATTATAAAATCATTGGTAATACATATCCTAATGTTAACCTAATTTTTTTTTCAGTGAATAATCCTTTCTTAAAATATATATATATATATATTAAATATAGGAAACAGAATTTATACTTATTATATGCATAATGATTAACAATACATGAATTTTATTAGATTAAATATATTATATTTATTATTAATTATATATAATAAAATAATCGATAGCTTATAACTTTTTTCTTGACTTTTGAAAAAAAAAATGTTCAATAATATCATTAAAATCAATAGTTTTCGTTAAATCAGCTTCAATGTTGAGGGTTGTTAATTAAGACGATTTTCTCTCGTTGTTGATCTTAAATAAGTTTTAACCTTTTTTAATGTAGAAAATGATTTTTCCGTTGAACAGTTACTTGAAGGTGTACATATATAATAGCATCCTT